AGCAGCCCTCCCCCGAACGTCCCCAGTGGTGCCGTCTCAGTGGTCCAGTCAATTTCCAGAGCGTTAAAGTCCCCTACTAACAACACCCGGTCACTAGATCCGACCTGCTCACATAACAGCTCGAGTAGTAACCGATTCTCTTCTACGGTGGCCGATGGGCTCCTATAGACACCTATGACTGATAGTCTGTGATGTGCAGTTCGCACAATCACCTCCACTGCCTGTACATTCGGTGTGTTGTGGTGACGCCCTTCATGTTGGCTGTGGTGAGCTGCTACGAAGACCAATACTCCCCCTCCGGCCCGTCCATCCTGGCGATCCACCCTGCTGGGTATGTATTTGGGAAGGCTCAGGTTACTGATTTCATCAGTAGGTCGTAGCCACGTTTCTGTGATGACTATCACATCATCCTCCCCTGCCCGTGCTCTTAGTTTGGGCCACTTGTTTCCCATACTTGTGGCATTTGTATACCACACCCCTAATTCCGACTCTCCCCTTGATCCCTTGTACCTCTTGGGAGAAGTCAGTCGCTCGGGCTTCAGGCCCGAGCAACCCACCCGTTTTTGCGTTCGGGCTGTTGCTGCCCCTATTTCCTCCCTGAAATAGGCCTCCTGTCAAGCTCCTTGGTGGGGTGGCCATGCAGGGTCCACCACAGGTACTGCTACAACACCCCGTTTGACCCTTCAGTGTCCTTTCAGGGCTCCTTTGCAAGGCAGACCCCAGTCGCTGGGCCCTAACTTGAAGCTGTTCCATTCGCGCTGTGTTAAAGCCAGGCGACTTGGGTGAGCGTAGGCTTTCCCCTGGGCTGCGTCGTCTGGCCAGATAGTCACCTAGCCCCTTGTGCTATGGCTTATTTTCCCAGAGGACTGTAAGACCCAGTCACGATGTCTGGGGTTGGCGAATTCGACAAGGACAGGCCTAGGGGGCTTGCCTTGCTCCGCTCTCATCCCTATCCAGCGTCCCAGGCGCAGGACTCTTTTGATGGCTGTGTCCCGGGAGCTCAACTATTCTTAGCAGGCTGACAATATGGTACCTCATGGCCCGGTCCCTTTGTCTGCCTTCTTTCATAGTGGGCTCCGGGATACCATGTATGACCACATTCCGATTCCTGCCAAGTGCGATGTCGCTGGCCCTCTTGAGTTGGATTAACTCAATCTCCAACCTTTTATTTCCTTCCTCTACTAGGTCGAGGCGGGCCGCTAACTCAGAGACCAAGATCTGGGGGTTGGTCCCCTGTGTCCTGGAGCGTGTTACCTGGTTTCTCAGTTTTGGCCGCACATCGTGGCTTCCTAGGCTATGTTTTCTTCTTCTTCCCCTCCACTGGTTTGTCAGCAGTTCCAGCTGGTAGAACAGCTTCGGGGATTACTGCCATAGTACTTGAATAACACCCACCCTCACTAGGCTCTCCCTGGCTCAAGGTGGCACTTCTGATAGGTTTACCTGAGGCCTCTTTGACCGCCTCTTTTTCCTCGACAGTTTGATCGCTGCCCGTTTCCTCGAACTCCACTTCGACCTTCTGCTTTGATTGGACTAGGCGCTTCATGCGTGTCCTACATGAAACGCAGTCCGGATTCAGGCTCCTAAATTTCTTATACACTCCATATATAACCTGAGACAGCCCACAACATTTGATGTGATACCAAATGCAGCACGTGTTGCATTGGATACCGTCCTGTACCGCACCTGTGCGGCCTGCTGGAAGGTTTAGAGGTGGCTACTCGGGCTCCTTTTGCCATTTGTTGTGTATAAACAGAGACTTCCAGAATCCAATAAACAGAGGTAAGAGTGACAAACTGACACTGAAAGAGGACTATGGGAACAGAAGTACGGAGTTAATGATTACGGATAGTAACGGGGAGATGCAAAATAAGATTTTAGGTAAAGCTAGCCTAGATTAACGTCCCAGTGGTGATTAGCCTTCCAGAATCATAAAGTGCTACTCACCTGTGAGTAATTTGACGTCATTACGGAGTTCCCACGTCGGCGAATCACCCAAGGTCGAGATACACGTATCCGTGAAATCGAGACCGGCCGATCTTCTTTCCTTGGATGAAATTGTGGATTTTGCAACGGTTTCGGCGCGTTTCCCCGAAATATTCGTTTCTCGGGCTTCAAATCAAATTTCAAAACTCCTGGTGTAGTGTCAGGACAGGACAGGACAGATCACAGGACTTGCGGCGGAGCCAGAAGCAGTCCAGTTTCTTGCACCAATGAGCTTGGGAGCACCACNTGAAATCGAGAACGGCCAAACTACCTTTTTTCCTCGGATGAAATTATGCATTTTGCACCGTTTTCGTCGCGTTTCCTCGAACTTTTTGCTTTCTCGGGCTCCACGTCACATTTCAAAACTCCTTTTGTAGCACAGGAGATCAGAGTCCCGCCTATCCCTGTTACTACCGCTCTCACATCCTAGCTGTCCTCTAGATTTTTTTCCCGATGCATGCACCCTTAACCCAGCGGGACCATATTGGAGCCAGCTCCCATTTCCGTCAACATCCCTTTCAGCTCGTGAACCCAACTGCAGAAAAGAAGAAAAATCCGGAACTGGGAATATTGGGCGCAAGCCTCGAACCCGAGTACTACT